TTTACTAAAATAAAAACATTAATAGATACATATCTAGATAATATGAGACTGATATATTCAGTCCCCTAATTTCAGGAATTTGTTAACAGGAAGAATACTTTATCACTACCAACATTACACATAAGGAATAAGTTTTAACAGGCCAATATACCCATAGCTTCAGCAAGAAAATGTCTTTGATCTTCTTAGGAAAAATCTCATATCTCCCTGTATCATTACCTGCACTGAACCCCAGGGAAGAAAAGTTTCCTTCACTCATACATAACAAATATATATAGTCTGACCCTCATAGAAAGACTTAATTTATCTCTTTGTCCCTTAAAGTAACCCTTGAGGATAAAACTATTAACAAAGGCAGCTAGCTCATTACAACAGGATTCTATCACTAATCTGAAAGAGCTATCATTTGCATTATGAAATCATTTATTCTAAACAAAGAATATATACAACCTTACAACCTTATTGCACACGAACCCTTCACAACAAGAACAAATTTGATGTGGCGATTTTTTTAGCAGAAAAAACTGACCTCAAAATTAAACATTTTCAGGTTCCTTCCTTTATATCTTCAACATATGCTGGAGAGACTTGCATATTTTGCACAACTCAGCCATATGTGTCCATCTTGAAATTTGCAAGATTTTAGGACCATTCCTTAATGTTACATTTTTAATGTTAGGTAGTATAATTACTAAAGTGTTACTGAACAGCTATGTAAAAGTAAACATTGTTTTTGCATATTTAAAAGATTAGTATTAATGCATTTTAGAATTTGACAACATTGGCAAACAATCCAATTTATTACAAATAATACAAAAGAGAGTTCACAGCTAAAATCCATTTTGGTTTCATGCAAACTTTATCTTTAATAAGCCAAGTCAGGTTTCACAAAGTAGTAAATTAACTGCCATTTGTCTTTCGCTTGCACTTTCAAAATTAAAATTTAAAGCCTAGTTTCTATTCTGTATGCAGCAGCAAGTTTTATAGATTTCAGCACCCCAGGATAACTGAAGATTTTACATCCCCTTCCTGTTTGCCAAGAATGGAAAACATTTCAATCCCAAATTTCTTAAATACAAATTTGGCACACCCTGGATGCTGAGGCACCCAGGGATAGATTCCCCACTTGCCACGACTCTGGACAACACTTAAGATTCATATTTAAGTAAACTTAGGTACATAAAGTTCTTAAATATATTAGTTTTATTTATTCCATTAAGGAATTTTGACTACCAAAATGATCAATGCTAGTTTTAATCAATTTTTTTAAAAGATAATAAACCTAAGCCAATATTCACAACATTTGTTGTTTATTTAAATAAAGAGTGTTCAAATTTATACTAGAATCATTATCGAAATTTTGGTAAGATCACTGCCAGCTTTTTTGGTTAATAGGGAAATAAATAGATATTAAAAACTAATACACAAGTCTCATTTCAGATTAATACTTAAACTATGAATAAAATTTTAATATTTATTGGTTAGCTATAAAGTTACACTTAACAGCAAGGTAAATATAACTGTTTATATTAATACATCTTTAATCAGCAAATATATAACTAAAGATATTTCTAAATATTTAAATCCACCTATTTAGCTTCATTATATATATCAATTCTCAGGCATTTCTTTCAATTTGATTACACACCATATTTACTCAAAAAGTCTTATTATTTTATTAGAACATATTCCAAGTAATAAAATTGTTCCTGAATATTTTATCTTGTAATAATTCTGATATAAATCGCACTTTTCCTCTCCCTCCAGACTTTGTCAAAGAAATTCCACCCTTTATGAAAAAAACCCTTTAAGGAAAGCTGATCAATTTAACAGCTCATTTATGTATACACAGCATTTTGTTTTCGGATATACTAGTCAACAGTATAGTGGACACAGGCCTAAATAAAATCAATATATATGTATACATCAATAGTTACCCATATGGTTTACTTGCTATTTAAAATAACATATTTTACACATTAACCCTCTCAGCATTACGGCCGGAAAATTCCGTACAGAAGGTTGCCTTTCACATTCATTATACATGAAAATTTCTGCTAGCTTTTAATGCATCAGATTTCAGTTTGGATGTATATTAAAAAGAAATCAAGGTACAAAATGAAAGTTAATTTTTTTAATTAAAATCAAGAAAATATCACTTATTCATGACATTGAAGAACTTTAAAATTTCAAGGCTAAACCCGTAACACTCAGAAGGTTAAAATATTTATCTCTTATTCTGTAATTTTATCAAAATTATAAGGTCTTAAATTTGAAAACAAAAATATGCCAAAAAAAAAAAAAAGGACTATTTTAACACATATTTGTGAAGGTAAATTTTAATCTCTTGCCAGACATCAAACAGCCACTGATATATGCCAAATAAATACAACTAGCTCAAATTCAAAATACCTAGCAGAATTTAATAAAAAAGCTTTATTTTGACAATTATATCAAGATTCCAAGTTTAATAACATAGTTGATTTTATACATATAGTTCTAGTTTACTGCAAGACAATTAAAGCCTTCTTATATTGTTCGTAATTAGGTTGCTTTATTAACTTTAAATTTTTCACAAATATTGATTATTAGAAACAAGTTACTTACATCTAGCTAGTAAATAAATACAAAATTAAGCTTAAAATTATTTAAAACTTATAATTAGGTTCTCAAAAGCAAAAGTTTTCAAAAAATCAAACGTTTGTCATAAATTAAACTTCTGATTTCATTTCAAATTTATGCACAAAAAATAGCAAGCTCCTAATAAAACAGATTTTTCCCCATTCATGACCTAAAACTTTTTTTAAAGAATGATGTTTGGTTTTCACGATTACCACAAAATCTTGAAGGCTATCCACCCCAAGAAAAACTAGCTTGCATACATGTTACACATAGGGAAAAACCACAAAAACAACCATCTATCCAGCCTAATCACGGGATTCAAACCTCGAACCAAACTACCAGCATTCAGAGACCAACATTCAACGGCTGGTAGGCCTAAAGAATGATGTACAAATAATCCACAAGATACATTTTATACTTATTCAAAGCTTTCTAGCTTTAAAAGGAAAGTTTAGTTCATTCTTTTATACTGAAAATACATTCTTCAAATATTAAAGATGTTTAATTTCCCAATATCCTTATAACTAAAGAATTGATCAAAAATAATTGTTTCAGCTGTATACAGATATAAATACAAGATATTTTACTAATAACCAAAAGAATTTTCCTTGTTATTAGTGAAGTTTTAAAATTTCAAAAGTTACACATATTCTTACGAGCAGACTAAAATCTCTGCCTTTAAAATATTTGCAGAGTAACATTTTTCTTTAGTATTTCAAGTCCTTTTGATACGACACCACATTAACATATATTACAGTATTTTAAAGGCTGAAACTTTATATTGTTCTTACATAGCTTTATTTTAATCACAAATTTCATCAATATTAGAAAATCTGATAAAGTTTAACTTTTTAATCTTATTTTACAACTTAAATTTTAACATTAACATTTTAAAACATACAAATATATAATTTCCTCATTAATAATCTCTATACAATTCTCTCATTTTTATAGTTTAATAACATAGTTCAGGCGACTTGATATTTTTTAAAGATAATTTCATTAATCAGCTAACTGAGTAATACTTTAAATATTTGCTAGGTTAAAACTTTTGATAAAATAACAAGTAGAACTCTATGCTAGGAAAGTAATTAATGAGAAAGATACCAATATTTTTATAAGAACTGTAAAAAGAAAACAGCGATTTTTTTAGAAGCAATTATTTATATGTTAAATTTACTTTATCCCCTTCAAAAGAGCTTTCTTAGCAAGCTATTTATTACCTGATAAGCTTTTATTTATGGCTGTGCTGCAGCCCGAAACTGAAACCAACTTCAGCAGGTTGGTCATAACCTAGTAACCATTTTAAAACGGCACATTTTCAGACAGGTTTTTCAATCAGGGAAGAAGTACAAAGGTCACAAAATTAAGGGACTAAAAATATAACAAAAACGCTTTTTGAACCGTAAGTGACACAATGGAAAACGCCACATGATGACACCCATCAACACACTAAAGCATACAAGTCTGTGCTTTATCATGCAGTTTAAAATTTGCTTTTCCGAGATTAATTTCAGAAACTATGGAATGATTACATACTTTAAATCATAGAAGCAAAACATGGAGTTAAACATTAAATATTTGTACATGCATATTTGCATAAAGGTCTATGCACATGCTTTGTAAAGCAAATAGAGCAGTTAATGTATTAGCACATTAACAAAAAAATTCGAAACTAATACAAGTCCTTCCAAGCTATGATATTTTATTAGAAAAAGTAAACTATAAAATAAGACCAAAATTTATCACAGTGAAGTTAAAGTTCTGAAAAGAGTATATAAAAAAGAAAAATTTAGAACTATAATCCATCTTTTCGTAGAGATCCAGTTCGTCTTCTTAAATTCTAGCACTTGCATGCTTTAAACATCCCAACATCTTTTGCAGTTATGGTACACATTTATAAGGTACTCATAAATATGTTATTAAAAGAATGAAAAAACTATACAGATTTCCCCTAAATATACTTGAACTAGGACAACAAAATACACCTGCACATATGAAAGAATGGATTACCAGAACTGTACTAGTAAACTTGGTTCACACTTCTGATTAAATTAAAAATTTCTTGCACAATGAGCGTTCAGATATTGTATACATATAATTAGAATGAATATGTAACTTTCATTTACGCACGAATGGAAAATTAGCTTCTGCGAGTTTAAAAATAATTTAAAAGATATCGAGAAAATTATCTTCACTTTAAATTCTAAAGTCATTTGAAGCAATATAATAGTTAATGTAATTATCTTCTAGTTGACAGCTCAGTGTGTAGAAAATCAAAACAAAGTGGGTTAATGTGAATGAACAGAAAGTGCAAATGATGGACATATGATAAATTAACAATAAGAAATACTTTGAACAAAACTGTATGCACTTACTGACGGTCACTCTTCGATCACATGCAACAGACGATTGCGTATACGATATCTTAAATAGAACACAAACAAAACGCGCGGAACACACGAAACAAACCAATCGCATCATTAACTATCTTCTTTATAGCAATAAGCTGTTACGTCAAACACAAGAAAGTAAAGTTATTTGCATATTTCTTTTTGCATCAGTTCTGATCACGTCCCATAATCTTAAATGCATAGTACATGATTTTTGCTTTATTTGAAAGAGTGCGTGTGAATAATATGATTTTTTATAATGGCTTAAATTTTTATATTGCATTATATTATTATATTACTTAGAAAGGAAAAGAAAAAATTTTGAATCCTCACAGGAAAACTGCATATATTCTCCTGCTAACGTTAAACAGCTGATAAGATCAGCCAATCGTGACTAACAGTTTTTAATGTCACAAACAGATTTTGCGAAGAGTATAGATGATCATGGTTGGGGGAAACCAGAGAAGAAGGGTAAGAAAGGAAAGCCAACATGGCTGTGATGAGCATGGAAAATCAGAGAAGTCCTGTAATGAGTGAGGAAGTTGTAGAGAAACATCATAGTTAGAGGAAAAGAAGATGAAGAATCATTGGCAATGGCAAAAGTAAAGAGAGAAAGGAGATAGATTGAGCCTGGGCAGGCTCAGGAGAAGTGCAGAGCGAGAGGAAACTTACAGAAGCCGAAGCAGGTGACGAGAATCATTCGAAGTCTTCAGCAAAGTTAATCAGGATCTGAGCAGCTTCGATGAATTTGTCGGCTGTAGTTTTATCATTCTTAATATTTTGGATATAGTTAATGATTTTTCCAAAGAAATTTTAAATTTTTACATCATTCAACCAATCAGTAGCCTCAGCAAAGTTGGAGCGTGGCTTCTCTGCCCCTTTTGGGATTTGTTCTCTCAGCATAGGTTTTTACTTCTGGTCTGGGCGTCAGAGGCGTAGCTAGAGTTTTCAGCGCCCGGGGACAACTGAAGAATTTCCACCCCTTTCTGTGTGCGAAGAATGGAAAACTTTTCATTTTAAAATTTCGTAACATCAATTTTGAGCCCCCTGGATGCTGCGCCCAGGGACAGATGTCCCCCCTTGTTCCACCCTAGCTACACCACTGCTGAGCTTAACTGTTTGCACGTTATTTAGAAGTGGGAAGTCCTTGATAGTCAGCTCAGGTTTTTTTTTCTGCTGCAGTTTTTCTTTGGATTTTTCAAATCTTTCTTGATAATATTTACAGCCTCGATAACTGCTAACGCGTCTTAATCCAAAGAAAAGACAGGTTGATGTATCTTATAGCGTTTTGGGGCATAGAATACTTTTGTGCTCTTGACCACATTTGCAGCATCTTTCTGCCATGAAACATGAGTATTGAGTATGCCCGTATTTTTGACATCGATAACACTGGGTCGGTCGCTTTTTAGGAGTATACTTCACAACTTCGATATTAGCACCGAACATGTTGTTGAGATTGAAGATGGCATTTCCAGCTTCAGTCCTTTCCAGCTCCAGGAAGTACAGTGGGAGTTTGTCATAGTTATACTTAGCTGATCTTCGAAACTGACGAACTTTCAGGATCGGAAATTTTATGCGGATGAAATCTTCTTTAATGACGTCCTCAGGGACTGATTTCGGCAAATTCTTGATAACTGTTCTTATATTTCCTTCAGAACTCACCTGATAAGGTATTTTCTTTTCTTTTAGGCTAGCCACAACATTTCGATAATCATCTGAGCTTTGTACATAGAGGAAAATAGAATCTCTTCTCATCTGAGCTTCATGGGGTAATTCACACAGTTCCGTAAAAATAGTATCGATTGTAATCCAGAAAGCATTATTTTGAGAGAAGACTATTGGAGGAATTTTATCTTGAGCAGGGCTTGGAATATTCTGAGGAGTTTCTGGTTCATTTTCATCTACAGGTAACATTTAAAATTTGTTTTTAAGAGGAATTTCCTGGGAAACAGTTTCGAGCTGCCTTTTCTTCACCGGTCTGGAAGGAGGTGAGAACCGCTCAGGATTATTTGTCAAGAAAAGTCCTTGGATAAGAGGAGTCATCAAACTTATCATTTTGCATGTTGTTTTTATAAGCTTCTTGTCTCTGTTGGTAATCAAATTCCATATCGTCATCAGTCATCTCATGCTGCGGCCAACTACTAGCCAAATCGAGTGGTTGGTTATTCGTCGACGTAGAGGAGAGAACGAGCAAAGGTATAAGTCAAAAATTAGCAAAGCCAAAAATCACGGAGCGAGGGGCAAACGCATCTTCACGCACCAAGTCTTAATTTAAAGCAAAACACAGTTGACATATGCGTGCCAAATTTAAAATTAATAATTAGGAAAATTCAACCTTACCTGAAGCTTACATTAGCTGAAAGGGCTCAATATGTTTCGACAGGAAAAGAACACAACCTTGTACTTTGCGTTTCGCTTATTTTCAGCACTAAATAATGCTTTACCATTACAGTTTTCTTGAGAATTATTTACATATAGTTAAGCAAGAGCGTTGTTTTGTCTTACTTACCTCCTCTTTCCTTCAGGATACTACGTACGGATAGTATTATGTGATGTGCCTTTAGGCCTTATTATTACTGAGCCAGAGACACTGCATGTTTACGGTATTCTGGTTATATCCGACTCAAACAGTCAGTCAGCTGTGCTTGACTTACGAAGTCCACTAAAGTACTTTTTTGTTAAAATTTGAGATCAGCGTTCAAGGAGAGCTTTATTTTGCCAGTTATTAGCACTAAACACATTTGCCCAAAGTCAAGGGCTTACAGCAGCTTCAAGGCACTTATGTATGAATGATAAGACACATTGTTAGAAAAATTCAACACTGGGAGTTTGAACAATCACCAAATTGGGTAATCAATCTTTTACTAAAGAAATCTATCGAAAAGTAATTGTAAAGTAATTACTAAAGTAATCTATCATTGAAGCTATCAAAGCGTTTTTTGGTTTCGAGTCTCAACGCTGAATTTCACCATATTATTGTCTGGGACCTGAACATCGATTCTAGCTGATAACTCATAATGAGAAACTTAGATGGAATACATACACAATGCATAGCACTTTGAAATATGTAGTAAGAATTATGTATCTTTGTCATCCGTAGATCATTTTCAGTCACTGCAGCATTTATTCAAAATGATGTTTTATTTTCAGGCTGTTTAGTGTCGTATGACTCAGATTTATTAGTCTCGTAAAGAGGTAAAAAATTTTGGAGTTCTGCGAAGATTCACTTCACTTATATTTAGTTGGAGGATTATTGCCAAGGTTGGAAAATCTTAATACAGACTAATGCGTTTTGTACTTACTCCAGTGAAGTTCGTTGCAACGACCCCTCGCACCTTATATGCCGGGTATTTTGTAACGAGAAATCGTTATAGGAAAAATCAATTTAATATGCTCTTATGAATCTGAGTATATTAAATTTCTTTAATGCTCTTATAAATTAAATGACTTTTTGTAACGATCGTTGACTGAATTATTATTATTTTACAAGTGAACATAACTTTAAGCACAATCTTATGAATGTTCTTTAGCAGGTAGGTTGCTATGCCGGTCTTTAAGATGTTCTTTTTTTAGTCTTGAATGATGCATAAGTCTTTATTAGACAGTCAGAATTAAGAGGACACGAGAAAATGCCTTCCTTACAGTTTGGACTGTTTTTCAGTTTAAAGAAGAGAAAATATAAGGGACACCGCTGTGGTCAAGGCCGTTCCTAGCGGGGGTGCAACGCGTAAAAGTACGCGGCCGGCGAAAATCAGGGGCGGCCGGACTCTCCGTGATACCTAGCTTAAATATTTTTCATTCATTAAATTCGCTGTAAGTATTTGTCATATGTAAGTACTTTTTATATGTAAGTACTTAGTGAGTATAATATAAAAATTTTATTATTTATTGAGCATTTTTTTTTTAATTTTGGGGTGGCAATCTTAGGAAAGTATGCGGGCAGCCAATGGCCTAGAAACGGCCCTCGTTGTGTGCACTTAAGCTGTTAGACGTGGAAAGAATGCCTAGTATAATTTAATGGTATTTAATTAACATACTCTAAAACAAATATCTGGAACACCAGAGAGTCTGGAGACAGCCTTGAAAACGAGTAAAAATAACCCATGATAGAGGAGGTCATGACTTTCAGAGAAAAAAAAAAATATTTTCATTCAGTTATATTTTGATTTAATTGAAAATTGATAGGATTTCGTTTTGTAGGAATTACGTTTTTTTTAAGATAATTTACTCAAAGAATTTATTACATTTTATTATTTATTCGAGCTTCTAATAATATCTGATGTTCGCTACATGGTTTTCTCCCATTCCCTCTCTTAAATTTCCAGCTCAAATACATTTCCACATTTTATGTCAAATACTTATCAGATACAGATATATTATATGTTGCCTTTCAAAATATACTCATTCAGAAGCGCATTTTCTCGATTAATTTAACAATAACACCGACGGACTGTAGATATTATATTTTAAGATGCCACAGAATAAACCATACAAAATTTTTGAATGAAAGTTAGGTAGCTAAAAATGTAGAAAGAGATGCTCTGTCTTAACCCCTTTTTCATATTATTAAATGATAAAAATTACGAATATTAACATTTAATTTTAACACTTTTTATTATGCAAAGTCTGATGGAAACTCTCCACATTAGTACGTACACGATTTCATGCAATTCTTGACTATCTTAAACCAAAAATGCGCAGCATGATGAATATGTCATGATTTATCAAATAACTTCTTTTTTTCCGATATTCAATACTCGATAAAAATGGATGAGGATCTTCAGACTCTGTTACCAAGACTCCCTTTTGGAAGAATTACCTGGCGGCCAAATAACTCTGACTAAAGATTTCGTTCTTTGGGAACACCATCAAAGTAATCGACTTCTAAACTCCAAAAGAACTCAAAACGTGTCACAAATGAAGTCATGAACTTGTGATCGTATACCATCCATCGAGTGGCGTAAGTAGAGTTCATGGGCCCCTATGTAAAAATACATTTGTGGGTCTCACTTCATATAATTTACAGAACTTTAAAAAAAAAGGGGGGGATAAGTGGCTTTTCACCAATGATGACTTCGATGAGAGCTGAATTAATTATTAAGCTTTGATATTTTGATATGCCTGTTGCAACAGGAATTATTTCCTGCTAT